GGGGGCTGCACCCACGGAAGGGACCCGCGCTGGGGCAGTGCGTGAAGAACTGCAGCCTGTGAGAAGGACTCAGGTTGGAGAAGTTCGTGAAGAACTGTCTCCTGTGGGAGGGACCCCACGCTGGAGCAGGGGCAGAGTGTGAGGAGTCCTCCTCTGAGGATGAAGGAGCAGCAGAGACAACGTGTGATAAACTGACCCCAACCCCCATTCCCCATCCCTCTGTGCTGCTTGGGGGGAGGAGGGAGAGAAAATCAGGAGTAAAGTTGAGCCTGGGAAGAAGAGAGGGGTGGAGGGAAGGTGTTTTAAGATTTGGCTTTATTTCTCATTACCCTACTCTGATTTGATTGGTAATAAATTAAGCTAATTTCCCCAAGTCGAGTCTGGTTTGCCTGTGACGGCAATTGGTGAATGATCTCTCCCTGTCCTTATCTTGACCCACGAGTTTTTAATCATATTTTCTCTCCCCTGTCCAGTTGAGGAGGGGGAGTGATAGAGCAGCTTTGGTGGGCACCAGGCGTCCAACCAGGGTCAACCCACCACACAGACACATGGGACAAACTCATAGAAACAAGACAGGCAGGAAAGAGGAAAAGAAAAAAAAGAGTCTGGAATTTAGATAGTGAAAAGCAAGGAATTCACAACCATTGCAATGACCTGTCTGACCTAGGAAGTATTGGATACAGCAGACTGCAAACAAGACCAGCAGAGTATAAAAGGGTCACTGACTCCAGGAACAGCATTTCCATCCAAAAGCCAGTGGGTAACCTTTTGCAACAAAAAGCCTTTTTTTTTACAAAAAAAAAAAAAAAAAAAAAAAAGAATTATAGACACTGACAACAGCCAGATTAAACCAGCTGCAAACCAGCCAAGATCTTCATTTTTCTCAAAAACAATATCCCCAGCTTCACTAAATCAAATCATGGCATACCTGTATTTTTTTGCTTTAATACAAAATAGACATTTTAAAGACAACTAAAGAGAGAGGAGATCTATTTCAAAGTGCAGCCGAAGATTTCCTTCTGGAAGATTTCTTCTCTTGCAATGTCCTTAACAATCCCAGTGCCATATTTCAGTGCAACTAAAACACAGCGCTTCTCCATGTTACAGCCCTGCAGACCTTTTTTTTGTTTTGGTTTGTTTGTTTGTTTGTTTAGCCATTCTTCAGAGGCTTAATGTCATTTGGAGACATTTACGACAATTAATTGCCCCTCAAGTTCCCAAGAGCAAATTTTTATCTTCTCAAAGTGGGAATCAGGTTAAAGGTTACAGGGAGATGACTGACCAGATACAAACTGTGAATGCTGCATTAGCCACAATGACTCTTGCAACTGAAAACCTACTTTTAGTTAAGAGAGGATTCATTCAATTATCTTACTGTATATTAGTAAGCTAATGGACATGAGGAGAGGAGATAACAGTCATTTACTACCTTTTCTGAACAGAATGAAATAAAACATGATTTTTTTTTTTTAATAGCTAGTAAACTTACATTAATATTCAACTGCAGAGCAGTAAGAAAAAAAAGGGCTTTGATGTTAGGCTGGTATAACTGCCAGGGCTGCTACAGTCTCCTATTATGTATCAGGTTATCAGGATATCTTCACTAATCCTAATTCAATCTCATACATATTCTTCATCAGTTGCCATTAAGAGAATTTTTTCACCTGATGTCATGTGGAACTCAAACAGTATTGCTGATGGTCACAGTGACATAAAATAAAGGCAAAATCAGTCAAGTTGAAAGGGCTGACAAGAAACAAGTTCAGAAGTGATTCACTTAAACCTCACAAGCCTCTCAGAGGGATAAGAGCTGTCGTGTGACTGGTCACGTGCAGGGCTACACTCAAAAGAACTAATGTTAATAACTGAAAAATGCGTGACAGCATTAAATCCCGATAAAACACACAATGTTTGTGGCCAACAATGCTGTCACTTATGTATGTGGATCCAGATCTGCTATGAACTACATTCCCCGGAGCAGATAGCTTTCAGAAGCACCCTCTTTCCCCTGCACCATACCAAATAACGAAGTCTAGTAGGACTCTAAGCAGTATTTTCCCTGGAGTGCAATAAAGACAACAAAAGGGAAATGCAATGGAGCTGTTGTGATTTTTCCTATGAATAGAGAAAAGATCAGAAAAGGCATTCAAAAGGAAGAGAGGAGGCAATGAATTAATGAGGAATGAGTTGCGTTGCATTTAGGCTAAAGCATTCTGCATCTATGGCCAGTTAAAGCCAGGAATGGCACAACTACAGCTGCGCACAGACACAAGCATAAATGACTGTTTCAGGTGTTTTCCACGCTACCTTTTACTTTGCCCCGCTGTCTCAATTAGCATTGGTTCACTAGCTCTGGTGTAAGCAGCTAGTGCTAAGCAGTAATATATAAGCAGAATATACAATAGAAGGAGGATACATTTACAAGTCAAATGGTGGGCATGCAGATGTTATATAGCTGAGAGCTACTGACATGCCTTTTTGTTTTAAAGTTGTTTAAATTCAGTAAGTTTCATCACCAAAATTAATACCTGCTGTTTGTGCTGTAGCAGACAGAAGAACCTATTTAGCATAGTGATAATCATCAGCTAAGTTGTGTATCTAAGACTTTACTGCACCTGCTTCTCCAGCACTAATACAGGTTTCAGAACTAAATTACATCTCAGCCAAACCTTGATCATGATACGAAGCACGCACTGCAGAACTCAAACACGCATAAACAAATCTTCGTGTAATGTCCTGAGAATATCTAAAACTCACACAAATGAAAACAAGCATAACAGTGTCTACTAGCATCAGACAATGAAGGAAGCTATCAGGTTTTCTAGCATGAATCTCAAGTCCCATCCTGCCTCCCTTTCGCCCCAGGCAAGATATCTTGCTTCTCTACTTCTCCAGGTCTGTGTTATTTTAGGCATGTTAATGATTTGGAGCTTATAAGATCACTAAGTAGAAGGAGACAATCAGTTCTCTTCCTGTGAGTCTTGGGAAGAACATAAACCTAGACCTCTACAAACAAAAGGTCAGCACGACACAGGTCTATGGGAGCGCAGAAAGATCCAGGAAAAATGTCTTAAATATTGCGGATGACTCTCCCAGTACAGCTGAGCCATCAAGGTATTATGTGCCTTAAAAACATGCAAGGAGAGTTACAACTGCAAAGAGCTTACAATATGAAGTTGACCTGTGCTTATTTTGTACTGTAAATTTTTTTCCTGATTTTGCCTTGAAGTTTTGCTGCAAACAATATCCTCCTCTATTTGAAAAGTCACAACATTTTGTCACTTACTGCTGCACAGAGTATACAATTACAGTGATGCAATTTTCACAGGAAGGTGGTATTTAGAGGAGGTAATATCACAGATACAATGAACATGAGGAAAATGGATGGAAGCACAGAAAAGAGAGATAAAGGCGATAAAGCGAGATCCACAAAAAGAAGCAAAATTTTGAATTATGGGACTTCCGCACAGATGCTTAGGCGCAAGAGATAGAAAAGATGATCAAAGTCCTTCGACAGATTTTCATTAGTAAAAAAATCTACAGCAGCTTAAGTTCTGGCTACACACAAAAGCATAACTCCGCATTGGCAGGGATGGTCAGCTGGCACTGCTCCAATGCCTATGCTTGATCAATATTCTCTCAGTAGATATTCTACTTCTGTCTGCAAAGGGGACCAATGACCTCAGCATGCTAACATGCATCTCTAGAAATAACTTCTACTCAATACACACAGACTAATGTCTTCTCCTGTGTTCAAAAAGAAAAGAGCAACTGCACCTCCATCTGCAAAAGGAAATGTTAGAATGTACCAGGCTATGATTCCAGCCTGTGAATGTTAATTAAACACAGACTACTATCCTGCAGTGCAAAATCAGATATTTCAGAAAATTCGAGCTTAAAAGAGTACAAATCAGCCTTCAGTATTAGCTATTTGCTTAATTTACATTTTCCTTCTCACTCTACTGTGGTAGTACCCTGTTAGGAATAATATTTTAAGTATCTAAAGCTCCTCACAAATTCCAGTTTAGGAGTCAGATGTTCAAAGTTCAGTACTGCAATGCCCAGCATTACCACATCTGCATTTCTGTGCTGAACTGCCTTGAGAAAGCACCCACTCAAGACAGATCAAACCTGAGTGCGTATTGGGAACTGGAAAGTCAGTCCAGTGGTCCACAGTGAAATCATTTTCTTCTTGGATTGCCCCTTTAGTAACTCACCCTTGATATTCACACCATTATCTGTATTTTTCAGCATATTATTCATAGTCCTGTAACACAGCTGTATTGCTGCATGGGGATGCTTCTGGTCCCAAAACCAACTTTTTTACCTTTGGATCAGCAGTCAGCAGCTTGAATGCTTGATATACTTGTGCTTCTTTCACGCCTCCACCGAGATCCAAAAAGTTGGCTGGCTTTCCACCATTCAAGGATATTATATCACATGTTGCCATTGCAAGTCCAGCTCCATTGACTGTAATTGTAAACATCAAGTGCTTATATTTCACATAAAATTATGTAAGACTTGTGAAAATGCTTAAAACATATCAGCACAACCACATAATACAACTCAAAATGTTACATAAATATTTCTTTCTAAATAGGTCAGTACCTATTCAAGGATGTTCAGTCCAACAAATAATTCAAAATCTGGTGCGTACACACCAACATTTAGATTTATTTATGACTGTATCAGTTTTAGGACTTAGATGTGCACCTTCCCTTAAGTATGTATGAGCACTGGAATGGTAACTGTGGAAATACAAAAATTTCTGATTTAAAAAAAAAAAAAAAAGAGACAAAAAAACTTCTGGGAATAGTGATCGCATCACGAGACATGAAAGAAAAATTGACTCCTTAAAGCTTCCCTCCCATCACACTGATAGCAGTAGATGATGTTTTGTATTACTGTAAAACAGATGACTATATTTTGGGGACAGATATCATATGCTCCTGGAAATGCCTTTTATTTTGTGTTTGCACCAGTCTAGAAGCATTCCCATGGGCATGAACATCCTTTAAGCTAGGAAAAGTAGATGTGAATTATTTGTCCCCAGTAAGTTGCTCCTGCTGGACAAAGTGAGGCTTCTGTATCACCCCTAATTCAACAGCAATATCTAATACTAAAAAAAAAAAAAACACCTATTAAAAAATACTGTAGTGTTGCCAATTATTGTTTGGAGTTTTTTTTAAATTGAGATTACAATCTCACTGTCACTTCTTGAATCAGCTCCAACACATTATCAGTATCTTCTAGATTTGTGGTTACAGTAAACATCAAAGCAATGTAAATACTGGACATTTTCTAAAACTGGTCATTTCACCAAGCTGAGATGAAATAAATAATTCAATTAGGTTCATAATAAAATGATGTACTGGCTAAAAGAATTTGTACAAAATGAAAATTATTTACAGCGTAGCTGACCTTTTTACTTATCTCTTCTAAACACAAGAGTAATTTCTGTTCTACAGAAACTTCAGGAAAATAAGAAACTGGTATTTTCCTTTTAACAACCAAGCAGCTGCTTTAGCAGCTTTCCTTAAAGGGAAATGGAGTTCAGTATTCATTTGTAAGTGGGAATATCTTGGTTTTTACACACAGGCTTTTGCAGGGCCTTCTGAGTAACACAGTCTCTGTTTTGAAAATTAATGATTAAATTTTCATTACTTTTCTTGTTTTGTTTTAATTACTGGAAAGACCAATTGCATCAGCTTAAAAATTCAGAATGTAGAAACCCCACAGTCTTCTCCCTTAACCCATCTGTCTTCTCTCTGACATCACACATGCCCTGTCTGTCTGCTATTGTGGCCTTCAACACAGTTTCAACACAATTTTAGTTTCATTCCTGCAAGAACTCATGGAAGGACAGACAACCTCAGCAAAACAGACTGAAATACTGTCAAGGGTGGCTTGAATGTCAGAATGTAAACAAAGTCTATACACTGAACGAGTATGAATTGTCTTCAAATGTCTTTTGGATTTATTTGTTTTCTTACCAAAGCAAGCAATATTTCCATCCAGTCCTATATATTTTAAGTCATATTTGGCAGCTTCATTCTCTATAGGCTCATTTTCAGACTTGTCATCCATGGCAAATATTTCTTTTTGCCTAAATTCTGCATTGTCATCAAAGTTTATCTTGGCATCAAAACAAACAACTAAAGAAAAAAATATAAAACAACATACAGACATTTAGAGATTACAGTTAGTCGAGTTCCTGAAATATTACACCAACTACTACAGCAGGGAGGGGGGAAAAGGGTTGCTTAGGTACTAATACTGCTTCCAACATATGATCAGCTGAAGTTCTAGCACTGAGTCCAGTAGAGAAGGGTAAGTCTTCCTCAAATCCTATATTGAGAAAAAGTACAGCAAACATCTCCACACTATGCAGTCATGTGCCTTTGTCAAGGGGTGATCTGCTGTGTTTGCTATCAACAAAGTACCCATAAGTTATGAAGGCAGTTTTTATAATGTGGACAGGTGGTCTGCAGTAATTTCATAAAAGACTCTATTTTCAGTATTTTGAAATTTGCTAAGAGGTTAGCAATCCAAAGCAATGTTTGGTAACATGCACTCATTTATAGTTGAGCAATACAAAATGCTTTCTTTAGCCATATTTTTAATTTATAATGTTATTAGCTATACACGCATTATTTCCCTAAAGATCTAAATTAAAACAACTTTAATCAAATGTACGTTAAAAATGATCAAAAGACGACGTTTAAATAAGGAAAATGTAAAAAGTAAATACAAAACTTGTCAATGTCAACATCTGCTATAGTTGTAAAAACAAATTAAGAAGTAGCTGAACCTGAGTATCTTAAATAATAGATACCAAAGTCTAGCTAGTAGACATAATATTCACATAAAAAAACAAAGAGTAAAAGAAATGCCTGTAGAGTGAAAGGGTTATTTGCCTATTTACTGACTTATTATTTCTATAGGTTTACATAGGCAAACACCTCATTAGATTAAAATGTCCTAAGTAAATGTAAGACTGCATACTTATCATTTTACTATTTAAGTAATTTGATTTATACTATATCCAGATTATAATTACTGACTGAATTATAATTGATTTCTCAATGTAAACCAGTCAGATTTAAGTGCCTTTAAATGCTGCATCCAGAAAAATCAAATAGTTTTTCTTTCTGCTGTGTTCTGATTCATATTGCCACTGAAATACATACATGGTATGTACGCACCTGCTCATGAGCATTGTACACATCTCTGCAACTACAGGCCAATTACAATTAAAAAGACAATTTTTAGTCTTTGATATAGATACCCATCAATTAAAATAACTAATCATACAGTCTTTTTTGGTGGACAAATACCTCTCTCTCTCTCTCTTTTTATTTAATATACAATTGTTTAACTTAGGAGAAAGTATCTAAGCAAACAAAACATTTACACAAATAGGAGAGTCTCAATTGTATGTCTTGATTTGCATTGGGTTTTCTTGTTTTGGATTTCTGACGTTGCTGGGGTTTTTGTGGTTTTTCTAAATATATTTGATTTGTAACCAATACCAGATTAACTTAAAACAGGATCAAATGTAGTTTCAGTGACTGCAATTTCAGAAAACTATTAATGAGTCTTTGCATATAATAAATCTCTCTTGGCAGAGTCTAGATCTTACCCGGTCAACCATCACATGGGAATCTGCAAAAAGGAGAAATGTCTGAAGTTCATAATATGCTTCTACTGTACTAGAGCTGCTTTAATTTTTTTTTTTAACAATGAACTAAGACCTGTACTATTTTTCTTCTTCAAGCTTTGAGTTCCTTAAATTGCTAAAACAACTCAAAGCTAGAGTAAAACTGCAGTTTCAGAGCTCTGTTTACCTTAGACATGAACATCCTCAATGTCACATTAATAGAACCTAATTTCTACAGAACATTCTTCTTTAACAAAGGCCATGCTGTACAAAGTAGTAGGAAAAACACCTATTAATATTTATCAAACCATTTGCACCATCAAAAACACAGTTACATGCATGATAGATTATACAAATGAAATTTTCTTCTCAACAAATATCAAAGTAAGCTCCAACACTTATATTTGTGGAGTATTTCTGTTGTTTTTGCTAGCAGTGTAGGATTTTTGTCATCTGCCAATTCAACAGCTTACACTAAGAGCAAACAAATCAAAAACCCCAAAGAAATTGGCAGTTACAGGCTTCTGACCCAATAGTATTAACAAAGAATTTGCTATAAAATTAGACAAAAGGAAATACCTATGACAATGTATTTTCTTACGGAAATTCACACAAGTGAAAAACACAAAACACAGCAAGAAATAAATCCATCTTAACTGTTACTTTGACAGGAATAATGGTCTTCATACAGAGACTTATATTTTATCATTAGAAATAACTGCATTAAGCTACTCAAGTGTTCTTCCATTTGGTTTATCTTTATTCTTCTTTAAGACATTTCAGACAGAGAAACTGCTAGCAAAAAAGAAATAAGCACAGGAAGACTTCCGTGTATGTCTGCTAGTAAGATGGCTTTCACAGCTTGAAACCCACTCTGTTTCTGCTCCTCAGCTTCCTGGATGTGAAACACATGGGGAAAAACCTCAGAGAAAACAGCATGAAAACTCCTACCATCCCTCAGATTAAGCCTTGCTCACTAAATATGCACAGCCATTCCAGAAAAGCTAAGCTGGCAACTTACCCAAATCAGTTCATTTTTTCCACAGTGCCACCTCCCAGTACTCAAGCAAGGATGCAAAGTTAGTACCACCATGGTTGTTTAGGACCTTTTAGGACCACCAGTTTTGTTTCCTCTCATTCCCAACTGTTGTCTTCTTCACTTGCCCCTAATTATCTACCAATTTCCCCTTTGTGTTGGTACCCAGCCAAATATGTCTTCAGCACCAAAATGATGCCCCTATTCTGTCATCTGACAGCGCTGTCTCTGCCCTTCTCAATTCCTTCTCAGTATCTATACACGTCTCCAGTGTCCACTCACTAATACCCAAGACATAATAAAGGTCTTCCTTGCAGGATTATATGGCTGAGACGATGCAGGTACCAAACCGGGGATTTTGTCCTTTGCTCTGCCAAAGTAAGAGAACAGTAAAGTGCTTCTCTACTAGTCATCTGAGCTAGCTTTGAACCAGCAAGTGTGAATACCAGAACAGCCTAGTCCTGGCACAAAGAGCTCACCTCAAGCTCATTTGTCTGCCTGATAGAAGGCAATTGTCATAGATGTCCCAATTTCTGACATCTGACCAAGCATAAGGACTACTGAGTACCTTCTATACTGCCCTGTAGTGTTAAAGTACGTTGGTCAATTACTCTACTAAAAAAGTTATTTCAACAAGTTTTGAGGAAGGAAATTTTGTTTTTACAATATCAGTGGTCTTGAACCCACAAAATAAACCTGGTAAGTACATCAGTCATAGCAGACAAAAATACCAATGAATTTGTTTTGAAGTGAACATCATAATCCACAGGAAAGTTCCAGCAGTTTTTGTTGCACCTATTTTAAAGGTCCCATTCATCCGCAAAAGGTCAAAAGTGTCATGTGTTGCACACTGCTAGAACTTGAAAAATCCAAACCGTTCATTTTACAAGGCCCTATTTCATTGTTCTGCTTTAATTTCACTGTGCAACAGAAAATGAAAATGTCCTTCTCACCTCATTCCCAACTGGTTTTAATGAAGCCAACAGATCTATTTAAATGGCAGGGAAAAACAAGTCTATTGGGTTCTGAAGGCAAATTGTCCATTTCCATTTAAAATGCAGCCTACGGTACAACTACACTGGTCAACAGCAGGGCTTTTTGCCTCTCTCCCCAGTACGTGTTCACAAATTGCATAAGAACCAATGGAGCTAGACTTAGTTGTTAAGAATTTGACTTATATTTATTAAGCTGAGTGAGGTTTATAATGCAGAAACTATTGATTCAATGTGCATGTTATTATGGTACTTCAAATGAGCTGGAAATCTGAGTGTGCAGCGCTGCGAAAGATTCTCAGATACATAGAGTTAAAGCATTTGGTGGAAATCATTCTCGTAAGGTAAACTCTATCCAGAGAGCTAAAGGATTCTGGTGGCAAGAACACCAAAAGAACCCAACTAAGAAGGAATTCGTAAAGGTCAGAAAAAAAGGTTCAAAAAGCAGAATGCATACTTTTAGGTCATAAATATGTTCTTTTAACTTAGTTTAACCTGAAATCAGCTCACTATGTAAAAAAAAAAAATTGACCACACATTTGATCATTATTACCATTGTGTCTGAATTATCCTCATATACTTTAATAGAGAAGTTATTCTTTTGTATTTGTTTTTAAAATGTCACTTCATAACAGGGTGTATTAGTGTCCTAGAGCTCATTTTATAACAAAGAGCAGCACTTTGTAAGATGCGTTAATAAAATGGGGTGGGGCAGGATTTGTTTTACATCTTTTAGAGCTTTTTCAGAGTACATTACCAGCAGAATTTTCCTTTTAAGCTGTGGACAATTCTCTGCCAATTCTTTTGCATTTGGTTTGTTAATAAAAAAGGGAAAAACAAGGCTGGATAAGTGGAAGAGACTGCATAGTTTCTAGCCACAGTTCAGCTTTTGAATTCCTGACCAAGTCAGCCAAAAATACGGATTTTAGTGAAAAGCTGTTCACTTTACAAACTAGCTGTGGGCACATAAAAAGTATTTTTAAAATGCTAATTCTTTCAATTGGTACTGATTCCTATGAGGAGGTCACGGTCTTAACTGACATAGCAGCGATCTTTTTCCAAAAGTTTCCAGAACTGCAATTAAGCAGCCGCATTCCTAATGTCTGTTAAAATGGGGAAAAGCTTGCTCTTTCCATTTTCTAATTTTCACTTTAATCTGTAGGTGTATCTCATAAAGTTGGTTAAAAACTGGAATTCTCTTTCCTGAGTATTCTTTATCAGTGTTTGTCAAGAAACACCCAGCAGCACTTCCCAACGTCAAAGACTTCTCTCAAATCACAACATGATACTGTAGGTAGGGCCTCTACTAGAAAGTCACCAGTGCTTGTGAACCCCAGCCTTTGACACTGAAGTCTCAGCTAGCTCCCCCTGAGCTCCACAACTTCTCACCTTTACCTATTTAAATTAAAGAGAAGAACTAAAAAGGGAGGGGGCATGAATACTGTAAAATATTGGCATTAGGAATGAGTGCAAGGGTAAAAATGGTCTGCCATCAAATGAAACAGCGAGGTGGTAACTATGATCCACTTGGATCAACCCTACTCTATTTTAATATAGCACAGGCATCTTTCGTCCCTCTTCTCTTCTGTCCAAGTTAATTGGGTTTCAGCTGGAAAACCAACTACTAGAATGACACAAAAGCTAACCCAGCTCCTTTTATTTACCCCTATACCTTCTTAGCCCTTTATTCATGGTGGAAGCAGATCAATTACTCTTTTTCTTCCCAATGGATGTAGCTCAGTGTCTGTTCCAGCTGGAATTTCTTCTGTGCTCTAGTAGGTTGCGGATTTTAACTTACCTATGTGTTTACAAACGTAAAATAACAAGTTTCTTTCCACACAATCTCAGGAATTCTAGCAACATTAACAAAAAATATCCAAGACAAAACAAAAACCAAGAAAAAGCCAACTTTGTACAAAGAGCAGAAGAGCAGAAAATGTTACTGTTTCTCAGCAAGCATAACATGTAGAAGCCGGTATTTCCAGTATTCGGATGAAATAACAAAAGGTATTGAAATGTAAAACCTGCCATGGGAATATTTATGAATGTTGCTTAAATTACATTACAAAATAAAATTAATGCAAAGCTGCTGCTACAGCCTTCTATGCAATTTAATTTATAGTTTGCATAAATAAAGAATTATAATACGTTCATTTGTTTCCTTCAATTTCTTACCTTGCCCTTCTGGAGTTTCACCAAAGGGATTCACTTCAACCTGAGTGGCATCAATTTTCAAGAAAAGATTATACAGCTTCTTAATTTGATCTGCTGCCTAAATTTGATCAAGCGATTTACAATTACCACACAGAAAAACAAAAGTTAATGTTTTCAAGGCAAAGGTAAACCATTGTTGATTATTTTTAATGTATTAAATTGCACACTAGCTCTAGATAATTACTGCTTTTATTTCTGTTTTCTTAATCATATTTATATAGCATCTAAAATAGCTATAAAGTAGCATTATGATGCTGCATAACATTTAGTAAATGTATATTTAAAGACTACATGAACTGGAGAATTTCTACAAAATAAACAGCACGATTATTATGACAAGTTTAATTTGAAAAGTGCCTAACAGTTCATAATGACATATTCTCCAGTATGCTGAGATCTGAGTTGCATTCACATTAATCAGTCTAAATTCAGAAACCATAAAGCAGTATGTGCACGTCAGTGACTTTAGAAAAAATACACATTTCTCCTTCCTGCATCAGTCTGAAATGTTTTCTTGAAGAAATCATGTCAGAAGCATGCTTGTTTACTCTTTACAAGATACTCTTGCTTGTTCATTATTGTTCCTCACCATCTATCTCTGTGACTGGTTCTGTGGCCAGAAGTATTGTGACTGACTACTAACTTCCAAGTCTTTTGTTCTTATAACATTCTTCCATTAATAGAACAACTTAAACAACAGCAGTGTGAACGTGCATAAAAAAATATCCCTTTGGTTCATTACACACTGACAACCTATTAGCTGAAGTAAGTTTGCAGATGAAGTGCACTAATAAAGAACCATTCAAATTTGTTCCTTCATTACTGATCAGTTAACCGAAGTACACAAACCAAAAATATCTGGGACCTCTCTTGTGAGGTCTCAAAGTGAATGAGAATAAAAAAAAATGGAAGTCAGCTTTCTCCCACAACGTCATTCATAAGAAAGAAAACATTACGACTGGAAAGACTTAACCCCAATACTGCACTACATCAGGAAGAACATAGGGAGGGATGTTCCCATCTCCCTCTACTCAGTGCTGACAAGGCTGCACCTGGCATGCTGGGTCCAATTTCGGAAGCAACACATCTAAGACTCTTTAAAGAGTTACAGTTTGGAAGCAGCATATAAGTTGCTTATGAAGACTTCCCTGCTCAAAAGTCATCAGCTGAAGCATTCTCAGTGGTTTTGACTTTAAAAAAATTATCAGTTATTAATCTGCACCCACCAAGGCAGCAGTTTCCTTGGCATGGACACTCTGGTCAACAAACTATCCTAATACCACATGGGTAAGGCTATCAACAGTGACGCTAGGGAGGAAGTCCCACCGTGCAACCCCACATTGATTCTGGGCAACCTGAAAAGCTGCTGTTGCCCTAGTACACTGCTGTAATTTTAACAGACCACCAGAATCGTTTAACTTTTATTAAGGGCTGCTCCATCTTTCAGCACTTCTCTGAATCAGGCAGCCTAATGTCAACATTTCTCTTTCTCAAGGTCTACAAGTACTGAGCCTCTCTGAGGCAAAGCGTAAAATCCCAACCTAGAAATAGCAAATGTACAAGTAAATACTAGGATTTGCCTGAATAAAAACTATGTCCCTATGCTTCAGTAAATTCCTTTGAGTTGACAGCCCAAGGAAAGAAATGCATTCACTCCAGCATCATTTAAATGTATTGTTGAAAAGTCCATATATTGCTGTTAATAATTAAGTACCAGAACTCTTCAAAGGTTGAAAGGTTCTGCATAATCATTCCTCCTCATTAGATATACAGCTAAATCTTCAAATGTGTGTTAATCAACTTAATGATTATGCATTTGTTAATTGCACGGTTGGGATAGAAAATAATTAAAACTGCTGAATTAAAAATAAAGGAGTTCAACAAAAATGACAGTTTGATGCTATGGAAAAAAAAAACAGGCAAAAGTAGCTTAAACAAGCTTTTTCTCCTCTGCAAAATGATTCATAACGGCAAAATACCTTGCATATTTGTGTACAATATGGAATTCCAATATATATAAAAAAAGATACTGAAAAGACAACAAGCTGGCAGACTTTTGGTTTTAAGCCGAAGTTCGAAAGAACAAAAAAGGCTTCAATTGTACAGAGACACACTTTTACTTCTCCCCATATTAAGGCCAAATTTGCAAAAGAAGTTCTACCCATGTAATCCACTGAGCTCCAAGGGAATTCCATGAAATCAAAAGAATCCCACGTGATGTAACAGCATGTTTTCATCAATTGCTTCAAAGAGCAGGGACTTTCACTTTGGAACAATAAGGACCTTACTTAAATTGCTAAAGCCTGATGACAATTATATAGGTGCAATTTAATATTTAAAATGTCAAAATGGTCCTGACCTAATGGACACTTAGCCTTTCATGTCTATTTGAAAAGCATTTATTGTATGGCTGGGCTAAAATGTCTTCAGTAAAAACTGAGGGAGCAGAGTCAAGTTACCTGCTGTTGCAAAGGTCCTTTGAATCCCAAATTTTTTGCCATCTGCAATGCCTGACGATCCTTTATACCTTCAAAAATATCTATTTCCTCCTGTAACAATAACATGCATAAATATAACTAAATATTCAATCTGAATGGAGATTTATAACTTCAAAAGGAAAACACTTAGTATACATTTGCAAATCAGTAATTAAAGCATGGCTATTTGCCAAAGTTCTCTGAGACTGAGGCTATAGCAGCTGCCTATAGGGTATGTTATAATTACCACACCAACTATGAAACAGTCCTTCCAAAAAATATATAATTCTTCAGGGTGGCATGCTGACAAGACAATGTGACACCAGTTTTCACTTTTAATTACTGTACAGATGGCGTTGACGAATATTTAGTCTGTTAATTTTTATGACATCTTCTGGAATATTTTCAAGGCAATGGTGTCACTGCCCAGTAAGACTGTGAAGTTTATATAATTTTAAAATGCACATTAAATATTTTTACAATTTTTTAAATAATTATACTTGATTATATCAATTATTTTCCCAGATGAATAGCTTGTCTACTCATTATCATGCCACGGTAACATAAAAAAAAAAAAAAACGCTTAAATGTAGTCATCGTTAAGAAAGCAATTACAACAGTTGTATTTCAGATGGAAGAGTCATCCAGGTACAAAGAAATAATTAACGACTCTGTCAATTAGAAAAAAAAACAACCACAGAAACAATAACCATATTGGCACTGACCTGCTTGTGAAAAAAACCTGTGCACCTTCCTGAAAAGGAAACTCGCTCATTAAACATTTCAGATATTAAGTTTAACATATCATATCAGTAACAGACTGATTTAAGCTCTTTTTCTAAATTGAGCTGGAGACACAAACACTAACAAAATCAGATGTTCAATATGCTACTAGACAACAGGTCTGATCCCCTATTTGGTGAAACAGAATTTTTATGGTTCTTACCGTCTTCTTTCCATACATGGAAGAAGCTAAAATGGAAGGAGAAAGGGGGGAAAATATATATATACACACTTTTGGATAACTGACAAGGAAAATTTTTAGTCTAAAACATTATTTTAATACCTTAAAGATAAGTTCTGGGCTAGTAACTGCAACTTCTTCTATGTCAACACCACCCTGTGGACTGCCAACCATAACAGGTCCATTGCAGGCTCTGTCCATCAAAATCGCAAAGTATGTTTCCCTGGAAATATTCAGCGCCTCTGCAACCATCACCTAAAAATGAATACAGGGAAGAAAAAAAAACAGCAACAGTTCTGACTGGTCCATCTAGCTGGTGACACTTAATCTGAACATAGCTTTGCTTCCTTGAGGTGTCAAGAGTAGTGAATGTCATAAAATCTTTTGAAATGTAAGAAGCAATTAAAAATTAACAGAACCAATGAGGGGCAGTATTTCCCTCTGCTGTGATCAAGCAGAGAACACCGTGGCTCACGTTTTCTGCATTGCCTTAAAATGCAGCAGTTTGATACTTGCTATCCTGAAAAGAAATGTTTGTTTCATTGCTTTTACAAGACGTTACAACCCAGTGATTTTTTTCCCAAGAAATCCTCTCTCCCTAAATAAGAGACTCCCCTGATGCTGCTGTTCTCACTGGGGTATGTAACAAGTAGTGTAAACCAGGAACACCTAATTGTTGGGTTTTTTCCCCCAAGAGGGGCACCGGAGCTGCTGCTGTGTCCGTACAGGGGACATCCATATTACCTTTTTATTCCCAACAAGCACTTTAACATGCTGCCCCCAGAAAAACTTGAGTCACAAGGGACTACAGTCTTGCAAATCACACAGATGCAAGAGAGGGCACACTGGCTTTCTGATGCATCGCATCTGTAGCGCCGTTCCTTACCAGTAAAGCCTCAGGCTTAAGCTCGCTCCCTCATTCTGACAGAAGGCTGTCCTACACTTACAATCTCAGCACTGAATTCCTGCCCTGCCTAAGTATTTCCTAAGGAAATGGGTTTACAAATAATTCTGCCATCTAGCTTTTTACTTTCACTTTAGAGAGACAAGCAGATGTGTAACCTTCAGACACTGGCACATTCTAGAAACGTAAGAATTTATTTTTCCAAAGAGCTACTCATTTCTATTTATTACTATAAACTACAGAGCCCTTTCATAGCAGTATCTGACAGATACCTCGGCACACAGCAAAAAAGATGATTCAAATCCTACATGATTGGAATCTACAAGAACTCACATTAAAATTGGGGGGAAAATGGCCCATATAAATCCTCTGTAACAATTTTTTCTCTTCTCCCAAAAATATGCCAAAGCTAAAGTCCTTTCCATTTCAGTATTACAATAAGTGTGCCTTCCTCTTCATCTGAACTGTCAGTTTTTGCAATAGTTTAACAATAGGACTCACAAAACTGTGTTTTGATGCAAGAATACTAAATTCCCCCAAAATATTCTTCATGTTAAAAAAAAAACCCGCATATGATCATTACTAATTGTTCCTTACGATCATAACAGGTGCCACAATCTCAGGTGCAAAGACTGTAGTTCTCTTCTGCGCTATAGTTCTGCTTTTCAACCTGGAAGTTGAGCAGCCACCTCTGCAATTTAATTAGCACTATAGCTTCTCCTTCTGACAATCAACTACACATTCTTAGCAGAGCTACTACTTCCTATCTTTCAATGGAAGTAGTAGAAATCAGGAAAATCACTTTCCCTAAGATTAATATAATTAAAAAGGATTAAGTGGCAACGTCCTTCTAACGTGGTCTGTTTATAAAGCAACAGTTTTGAACAATAATTGTAAACGAAGGCCATCATTCTGAATGAAACATAAAGTGAAATTAACTCTAACATTCAGCAGTTCAAACTCCTTAGATCCGAGAGGCATGTATACACCCGCAGTCTTAAAACTCTGCCTACCCGGCAAGATGTGTTCCATCAAGTAAGTGTTCCTGGGGTTTTCATAGTTCAAGGACTATAAACAAGAAAGATGCACTATACTTTCACCCAAGTCGCTTTTTTGACATTCTACTCTGGAGTACATAAGAAAGAATGTACTTACCTTCTGCCAGGCTGTACATCTTAACAGAACAGGAAAAACAGTAAGAGACAAGGAATTAAACAAAGCCCTCTGTGCTCAGAATGGAAGGAAAGATGCTATTTCTTTACCTTTTTTTTTTTTGACTTGGAAGAAGTTTCCTTTATAGTAATTTTGTTTCCTTCCACTTTTATCTTGCTTTATTCATAGAACATAGGGTGATGTAAAGGAATAGTTCAAATAAGCGACTGTTCAAAAGCAAACTAAAGAAAACTAGGGTGAAGGAGACAACTAAGAATGTAGAAAACTACTGTACTACTAAAAAGCATCTGCCTATTTTAGGCTACTATGAAGGGATGCTAAAAGCCAACTTCAGAAACATAACTCATTGGCTACCTGCCGAGATTTGTCAAATTAACACACAAAGTTATGGAAAGCATCCTTGATTCGCTACTATTAGTCTTTTTACCTGCATGCATGTTTTCACCTTCTTGCATATCCTGCATCAGTGCATCTGAAAAACGTGAGTCAATTGCTTTAGACATAGGTCAAATAAAACCAGCTGGTCCTACTGGATCTTGTCTGAGTTGTTCACTTCCCAGAGTGCTCAGGATCAGGGCCAGACTCAGGATGGGAATCCACTCAATGAGTTTAGAGGAATACGTTTGCAAGCACAGCAGGTGGAACTGACATTATTAAATCAGGTATCTTTTCAGCTGCTACTTCTGACCCAAGGGATTGTCCGCACTATTGCTAATTAACCATGTCAACATCATCAAATACTTCTCTGTCTTAATTCACCAAGCTATTGAGAGTCTATCTACTTTGTAGCAAGCGAGCTTACTGTAGAGTAAAAATTGTCAGACTGCAACATCTCTCATTTCTCCCAACAAAAACCAGTTACTGTCCTTCACCATCCTCCCTGTTTGATGCAGAGCAAAGCCAGGCAAATTGGTGTTCAACATCTTTAATATTATTTGTTAAAGTCTTCCTATCATTCATGTGACAAAACTAATGCGAACACGTTAATGAACAGCTAAGAGTAGTGAAACTGAATCTACAGACTGTTGACTTTTCTCATATCATCATTATCTGTTTACCACATCAGGGTTATATTTAAAACGTCCTGGGGAAAAATCAATTTTCTTTAAAACTTCCTGATAACTTCAAGCTTTCCTTCTTAAAAACAAATCATTATCTAAAAGTTTAAGTCACACATCGAATTTCATGAGGGTAACTACAACAGCTCTTTTATCCTGAATCAAATATTCAAAATGTTAATTCTGTTATTGCTTGGAGAGAAAACACAGGTAGCAAATTCTCAAGTTGTCATGATAAGAGAAGACTGTCTTCTCAGATAACCAGGCTCTCCAAATTCCAAGATGCCATAAGAGGATTTTATGTAAACTCCCAAAATAGCTTCCAAGTTATGAGGGAACTGAGGAGACTATTTATTTAAGAAACATCAATCTAAAGAAGCACAAACACGCTTTAAATTCTGTAGTAGGTGCACAAGCCGAGAAAGCAAGCTGAAAACTCCATCTTCTCCTCCATAATTATTCTAATTGTAGAAAATGTCTATATTTTATTCCTTCCTTACAAATACATGTAAAAGGTACGTGACTTCCACTCCCTGACTTGACACTAGCTCATTTCTTGCCTTGCAGAAAGTGACTTAATAAGTATTTTCCTTCTGAAATACATTTATTACCTAATTTTTTAAAACATAAGAGTTCACTCAAACTTTCCAGAACACCAAAAAGTTTAAAACCCACAAAACCGAAAAACATCCCTTTTCTTTTCTTCGTAAACTGCAATTTTCTTTAAGTACGTGTACACACACGTATTCTTACGTACACATAGAGAGAGAGAGAGAGTATGTCTTGAAATAGAACAAAAATGCCTGCTATTAACTCTCTACTTCCCCACTGCTCTTAGCAAGCTTGAAGAATCTGTCCGGCAATTTTTGTGCATTAACTACCCACTGCATTAAACGACATTTTAGACATAGATAAACTCATACTTTTAATCATATTACTGTAGTTTGTTCCTTGATTAAAATTTCAGTGTTTGACATTGCAGTCTTGATACTACACACCTGAATGCCTCAGCTCCTTTGAAGATCCTACAGTGAGCTAACTTTGCAAATGACAAACACTTTTAAAATACATTAATTTTTCTGGGATATGGTCTTTTGATGACCTAGCTGCATCATTTTAAACAAGCTTTCTTCACTGTCTAACAAGCAATAGGGAAGACATTGGCCAATGCTATGCTAAACTGTTATATAATTAATTAAAAACAGGATGTATGCTCTTACCATAGATTACCAAGAATAAAGATCTCAACACCAAAAATATCATAAAACATACTATTACGTTATTACGTATGTATGTGACGAAGATATGAAATGGCCTAGGGCTTTTAAAAGCCAAGTCTATAATCAGAATGGAAGTCTATGACAATAGACGATCAGCTTCTCCCAGTAAAAAGCACTACACCAGTTTATCAGGCATCAATATTAAAATACTTGCGAGCCGTGTCCTGGAAAGCTTCCATGTAACACTACAACAATGGAAAAATACACAGTCTATCAAAGCGATATACTTTCCTGTACCATCAAAATAAATGTCTTAAGTTCAGTAGTGCAAACTTCACCTTAAACTTCATGTATGCCCTAGCTGCTTACTCTTGACCACTGTCCATTCATACAAGCAACATGTGGATGGGGAGTAAAGCAATTACAAGTTAAATCTTCTATAGCTATTCTATACAAGGTACAAAAGTCATCTTAATATAAATCCTTTGAATAATCCACTTCAAAAAACCCCAACACCCATACCTTTTTTTCATTTCTATCAATTTAGAAGAAAATGAGAAGTTTCTTTTTCAGAACTGAGTATGTGAATGAATGAACAGACTTGCACTCAGACAAAAGAGTGAAATTTCCTGTATTGATGTATTCAAAGTAGGTCAACCAGGGCAAAAGAATAAACCCAAAGAATTTATAAAAGAAAGCTGCTTTTACAATACAATTCTTTCAAAGCAGAGTGCCTTAATATGGGAAATGTATATCCTTTTTTATATCCTTAGTATTATCACAATCTCTGACAGGCATGCCTTAATGGTAATACTGTTCCTTCTTTTTAATATCTAGTATTTCTTTTTAACAACAACTATAAGGAGTGATGATAATCTGCTCTCCTTCCTCCCCAAGAGAAGAACCACCTGAGCACCTTCCTCCAGCCCTCATTAGACAGTATCTTTCCAGACAGGTGTTCCCCTTCTATGCTAATATACCAAGCTGCTCACAATACATTAAAAGTGAACTGCAGTTCTTTTTGGCTCATGCCAAATTATCTCCTGGCATTAAATACAGTGTGGCTCTTGACTACATACCTGTATGAAGGTCTTTGCTCAGTAAAACAAAGCAAGAGATATATGTATTTATATGGCACATAGGCAATTGCTAGGATTTGCTGAATTACAGAATTTTGCTAAGGTAAAGGAGAATCTTGCTGAAGGGCTATCTGCACTTCTCTTATTTAGGCCAATACAGAGCAATGTATTTATGCTGAAGTAAATCTTGGCACCTTGCAGTATGCACCATCATAAGTAAATGAACTACTACATATTAGCTGAACCACTACCACGACCACATATTACTCTGTATCTGCAATAAGTTAGGAAGAATCTACTTTTAGACACTTTTTTTTTTAAATTGAGATCATTCTCATGCAAAGTCATCTGTCACTATCTTTAATAACAGTTGCCCAAAGCTGAGGGTGAATGAAATACAGATAATATTATTACTTCAGGTAATCATGTATATATTACTTCTCTAAACAGAACATCAACAAGCATGTACAATTAATGCTATATACAGTTATGCTAGCACTTAGTATGTATCTGTTGAAGGATGAACCTACGACGCAGGATTCCCTTCAACACAGGTAGCAAAAATTAATTTATTTTTCCACCACTAGGAATGCTGAAATTGATAGACAAAATACATACACACAAAGAAAAAAATAACATTTTTTTTTCTTTCATCAACTAGATACAGTCAATGAGGCACTGGAGAAGGAATGAAAAAAAATAAATCTATGTCATACACTCCAGTATTTGCAGTAAATTGCAGCTGAGCACAGTTCTCAACTTTCAAGAGGCAAAAATCTTACCTTTTTAACTGTCACACCATCCTTTGGAGTTTGCTTTGTTGACAGATTGTACCCAATCATCTGTTTAGCAAGCTGTTCAACAATCTTAGGGCTACAAACAAAGGAAAAAGGTTAGTTTATTGAAAGACATTAAAAGAAACAGTCACATAGCTATTGTAACAGCTTAAATATTACAACAGAAGCAATTTATTTATGCTTTTTCAATTTTAAAGACTTACTCTTTAGTTAGATGAACTCCTCCTTTCAAGCCACTATTGAAAATACCTTTTCCTCTCCCTCCAGCCAGAATCTGTGCCTTCAGAACAATTTCCTTTGCCTCTGTAAAAGAAAACCACATTGCTATTCTATCGTGTGCCATTTATTGAGATTGTTAGTGTAAATTTTAAAAGTATTTCCAGGTTAGACTGTTTAAAAAAAACAATGAGAAGTTGCTCATAACTCGTGAGCAATAAAACAAGAGTCAATTCAACATTTTTACAAAGCAACCTTGCAAAAAAGAATTGTTCAAGGAAGTTAAAGGATAAATATACACTACTTATTAGATGGAGAAATGTGTCATTATTTAGATCAAACCCATGCTATTAATGTTACATGGCCTGCACAACAAACCATATAACCAGCATACAGTTTGACGGCTTACATTCTGGCACTGTTCTTAAAACATGAATCAGATCATATTTTGTCTTGAATGCACAACAAACAAATGCTCATCAAGGAAAATAAATTCCATTCCTTGCTCTGAACACATGTAAATAAAGCTATGGATGTGGTCCTAAAAGAAGAAATCCCCATCTCCAAAGGGCAGGTCAGCATGGAGCAAAGGCAGTAGCTGTGAAAACACATTCATCTGCTTGTGAGGCATCAGTTGAATCTTTGGCAGTGTGAGTGTAACTATCTCAGTAACAAGAAAGTGCAGCAAGACACAGGGACAAAAGTAACTGCACCGAGACCCACGTTCCAAACAGAAGCAATCCTGAGTAAAACAGTGCAGAGGGAAAGGGGAAAAGAAAAACACAACCAACCAAAAACATTGCTCATGATCTCTGCAGCTCCATGGACCATAGCAACTTCTCGAAACAAGGACCTGCCAGGTGCCTGCAAGATGTTTATTAATACTGAACACTGTCACTTTGCACATTGATCATAATACTGCCAGGTATGTTGGAAAGTCCGAGATCCTCATGTTAAGATATCATTAAGCAGTGCCTAGAAAAGGCTAACATTGTCATCCTTTTGTGAGTGAGTCAATTCCCTCTGAAGTCTGTGGAAATCTCCAATTTCAGTGATGTTTGGATTAGGTCACACCTTGAATCACATGAGAATTTGTCATTAAATTGACAGATTTACTGTTTAAGTGGCACAGAGGATATGGATACTTTTGTTCAAACAAACACAGGTTTTCTAGGCTCGTATCACATAAAAATATTTCACAGATGATTAAATATAAGTTTGGAAGTGTGGCAATTTTTGGTGCAGACCAGTTCTGACCCAGCGTCATTTCAAAGTTCCAGTATAATAAATTTCAGCAACTAGGAAAAAAGTTGGAACTTAGGATAGAATAAATATTATGAAATAAATATTCTATTTCCTGTATTAAAACAGAAATGCATTCTCAATATAGCTATTGGCGGCACTGTACTAAGAGCTGCCTGATTTCCAAGCTTCAAGGTAAAATCCATCCACGTGTTTATCCATTCAGTAACATTTGACGTACATCATTCTAAACCTTAAAAGCACTCTCCTTGAAAATACTTCATGCATTCCAATATATTCATGTTCTGGGCTCCCTATTATTCATGCCATTGCAAGGCAGATAAGAAGGAAGTTTAAATGCAACAAAAAGTTTTATATCAAGTGTTTCCTAAGCACACAAATTATTAAGATGAATTAAAACTATAAATCACTTTCCAACCTGCAGCAGCAAACTCTAAAATCACAATAGCTGCTGTAATAAAGAATCTACTATAGTGTCGTTAATAGACGCTGCAAGCATCTAATTAGATCGGGTTTAGGTGCCAACCATCCTGACAATGCGAGTTGTGATTGTCAGTGATACGTGGTATCAATTATGTGAGTGATCATTACCTGCACTCCTAACCAGCACGCTACATGAGTGCCGATTATCTTCATTTGGCTACAGCAAATGAAGTTAGAGGAAGGGATTAACGCGTACATTTTTATAATCCACTAGAGGACTATCAAGGCAATACAATAACTTCAGAAAAACAACTATCAAAAACCTAAACAAATACACTAGAAAGTAAGCATAACCATGTAAAGATTAGACCCGAAGAACTAATCAATACAGCAGTTCAGCAGAGCACAGGTTCTTCTTGCCCTGGGGGAAACCAACAGGAAGCGATTTAATTCAAGTTATTTGCCCAAGCTGTGTAAAATGAAGTAAACCAGCCAGACTTTATTTTACAGTAACTAGGTTCGATCATTCAGTACTTACCAAGTTGATTCACTACTTAACGTCGCCGTTTCATTTAAAGAGCCGATGAAATGCTTACACGGAATTTTCATGCTGTCTCCTGCCTGAATTCCCAAATTACGTTATGAAAGACTATCCCAAAACAAAAACGTAGTTTTAGGTGGAATATATGAAGTAATTCACCTTCACTTGTAGGCTCTAATATGAATAAATAAGTAATAATAATAATAAAAAAAATCTAGAACCAGTACGCAAAGTCAATATTAAACCCATTAAAAACAAAAAGGTGTAATTCATTTCCATTAGCACCCTTCCAAACTGCTGTAGTAACACTGGAAAAATGTTTAAGCGGGGCAGTGTAGTTATAAATACTGGATTTGAAGAGAATCTAGCACAAGAAACATGTCTTTACAGCACCATAAAGTATAGCACAACATTTTCAACAGCGCTGCATTTGGTAATTAAGGATTCAATGAACTTCTGTTTATGTCCACTGACTGACAAGCCTTTGTGTAATTTTTCTAAAAAACGCAAAACCAAAAAACAAACCCAAATAACAAAACAGATTGCTTTTTAAGTGTCTTTTTTTGTGTCACAGATTTAAAATTTTCTTTATCATTCAAAACAATACAAAAAAAGACTGCTTTTAAGTGTCACTAATTTAGCAGCAAGTAGCCGCAAACTGCTCCATGCAGATTAATGACGCATTTCTGGTAACAGCATGTGTTCTTAACTAATTATAACCTGAATACATTAATATCTCAGACTTAACAGTTTATTCACTGGATCTTATATATGTCTTTTTTACATTAATCTACAGAAAAAGACAGACATGAGCATTTCCAAAGAATCCTTTTAAAAAATGGAGCGAAATACAGCTTGTCCCCAAGTCAGATGCCAAAAAATAAGCAAGACCTTTATTCCTCAGAAAAGTCCTCAGAGTTTAAAATTTCACAGCTGTAGTGAGTTTAACCACATTTCTTGAAAAATTAAATCTAACCACATAGGAAAAAAGCCTTAAGTGCTTTTCTTTTAAATACATTCAGATGTTTCAGCAGAACAGAATATAACACTCCGAGGGACAAGCATCCTCTACGTTGCATTCAACAGTACATCTCCTTCCCTTCAGTCAGCGCTGTGAATACAAATGGCACTCTTATTCCTTGCAATTGTAATAGGCTCAGTTCTGTAATGAAAGCCTATTTAAAATCAATAAAATCAGTCCTGCTTTGGGGAGCTATGATTACTCTGGTCCACTGGTACTGCTTGCAGCAAAAATGAACAGCTTGTTCTCAGCCCACTGCTGTGTATATTTAAATACCGAATTCTTGATCATGAAACAATATACTTATAACCATAGTTCTGCTAGTTATAGGGTGTGCTAATTTATTACCTGTGAATAGCTTTCCATTATTATTGATATGACTGTGTGATTGCAAATTAGGCGTGTTAACAGTTACATTAAAATGTGCTATAGCTTATAAAAAATAAACTACTGTAAAGACGAGACAATGTAAGACTGCATGGTAATAGGCCTCACTCTTGCCTGTTTATGAACAAAGGATTTTCTATCAGAGTACTCAGGAGTACTTTGGCAAGGCATCCTACACTAGAGAACTGGAGCAGGGGACTGAAAGGGAGGAGGTTTCACACAAAATCCTAATCACATTTCTGTCTCACCATGCCACTTGCAGCAGTTTGGCTTCTCTATCTGCAGGGGCTCCGTGAAAATTAATTAGCATCTGCACCTCTTTTAAAAATGCAGAACCTGATTCAGTATTACATGAGTGTATTTCTACCCCAGCGTTAGGCAGCCGATCACAGGAGAAGGGCTGACTCCAAACCCCGGCAGCACCGTTAAGTGCTGCAGCAGCAAAGCATCACTGGAAAACGCACTGATCTCTCTCCTAACGAGCTTAGTACACCTTGCAAAATAGATGGAAGCAACTCAGTGTCATGGGAGCCGTGCAATGAAGACAAACTGAGGACACGCCAAATCAACGTCTTACAGAAGCACCGTCTCCTTACTGACCCAAAGGTGAGCGTAAACACTGAGTTTATGAACGCAGGAGAGCCACTTCCACGGAGGCAGCAGGCGTTAATGAGACTCCTTCAGCGCTCACACGAGGACCCCAGCCCAGCGTGGTTAGGCAGACAGTAATTAATTTCCAGAACTTTGCTAGTCACCCTTCTTTGCCTAAAGTCATTAAGCTGTGCTTGACGAGCAGAACCCTTCGGGCGCATCCCCCTTCCCAAAGTCCTGAAAGAGCTAGATGGGGTACACGAATCTGCAGCCAGCTCCAAACTCTGCGCCTCCACAAAGAGGCAGAGGTCCACCTAATCAGGTATTTACCTGGTAAGACTCCTCTGAGCTTCCCTTCCCAAAGCAAGGTTTTTCCCGCACTCTGCTTTATAATTTAGCTTTCATAGCATGGAAGTTGAGGAAAACAAGGCAGATATTACAGACATTTTCTGACAGCAATTATACTTCATTTTGGATAGCACAAGAACTATAAGGCATCAACAAAACCCCGAACACCTACATGCCATTCCTACTCCAGTTTCCTCACCAGTGCTGATGGAAAACCACAAATGCTCAAGTGTCCTGGAAGGGTTCTAGATAACCTCTCCCAAACTGCATATCTGCAGCTCGTAGCTTGTCTTCCAAAACATGGAAATGTTCCCCTTACAAGTCCTGAAAGGGTCAAGTTTGTGTTGGGGTTTGTTTTGTTTTGTTTTGTGTTTTTTTGGGGTTTTTTTTTACACTACCTCTAGCTGACCCAACAGTAAGGAAACCAACTTTTTGGGGTCTCATCTGTCCTGTTCTATTGTTGTTGCTTGCTTCTTTCTTGTTTTAATGCTACCACTACCACCTGAGCTTTTA